TAGCTGGCTCGGGCACCACTGCCACGGGCATATGCCCCCCCCCCAAAAAACATTTTCTTGGGGGAAATTAGGAATTCTGGGGGGCGCTCTGGAGGAGTGGGCACTTGAGGGCGCTCTGCAGGGGATTCAGGGACTGGAGCCCTCACTGGGCCAAACTCAGGGGCAGGAGCCCTCACTGGGGCAAACTCTGGAACAGGAGCCCACCGTGGGCTATACTCGGGAACTGGAGCCCTCCCTGTGCTTAACTGGGGATCCGGAGCCCTCCCTGAGCTTAACTGGGGATCCGGAGCCCTCCCTGGGCTTAACTGGGGATCCGGAGCAGAGCGCTGGGCGGGAGTGAGCCACGACCGACGGGTTTGACTTTGGAGTGGCCAGCGGGCTTGCCACAGAAACGGCAAGCGGGTTTGCCACAGGAACTTCGGAACGGCCAGCGAGCTGGAGAAAGCCGCGGCCGGCAGGCTTGACTGAGGAACGGCCGGCGGAGGGATCGGAGGCTCTCCAGACACCGGATGACTGCTTCCTTCCAGTCGAGGTTGGTGGTGTCTGGGAGCTCCGCCGGGCGATGGTAAGTAATCCCGATCTGGAACAGCGTCACGAGGGTTTCCCCCTCGAGGGAGCTGGTGAGGGCGAGCGGCACGAACGCCCTCACGTAGCTGACAGGGTCGGGGCTCGCCTGAGCCATGGCGATGAAAATCGCTCTTTCCTCCATAATCTCGGGGGGAAAACAAACGGAAAACAAGTACACTTTGAAAACCCAGAAAATAAACGCGGGGAGAAGAGGCGCCGCTCACTATTGTGTATGGGTCTGCTGTTCTGTCACGGTCACTCGGGGAGGAAGGAACAAAGGAGCGAGGAGTAATACAAATCAAAAGGGTTTAATGAGGGTAATGCTCAGGACACAGGTGTTCTTAATGGAGACATTAAGCAGACAGAATGACATTTAACAGCAGACGGGAAACACAGGGTTTAAATGCACAGACACCAATGAGGACAGGAACAGGAAAGACCAAATAAGGAAAACAGGAACATACACGTGACAGTACTAGGATAAAGAAAAGAAAGAAAAAAAATGTTGTTAAAGCATACAGGAAAATTACATTTATGAATCAGTTATTTATTGAAAACAAACATATGGAAATGGATCAAACACTGAGATCACTGTCAAAATCACTCATACATTTGTTATATATGTCCACTATA